AAATAAATTATTATGAATAACTGTACAACTTATAAATAATACAAAACAGTCTTTTTCTAACTCTTCACTGTACATGGATCTCACAATAATCCTTATCAAAGCACAGGGTTGTTAAACATAACCAGGTACTGGCAAAATTAGTACCATTTACTTGTGATAGTCATTCTGCTGGGTTATTTGCTGTTAGAAATAGGTTGGCAAAATCAGGCCCATACTTATTACTAACTTCAGGTTTTTGTGACAACCCAGGCAACACTTTTAAAGTATTGAAAAAATGCAGATGCCTGTGGTTTGACCACCAAAGTACAACATTGCAAACTTTGTAAATATATGTGAACTTAGATCAAAAAGGTGTATATGTCACAGTACATGTTCATTATGTCATTCCAGAAAATATCCATACCCCTCGCACAGGAGGTTTTTTGGACTAGGTTCTTAATGTCCTTAAAAAAGTTTGGCCTTTTACAACACCACCCTGGGATTTTCCAGTAGTTCTTTTGGATATTTTCTGGAGCCACACATTTCAATTTTGTGATTTCTTTTCCAAAGTGGTCATCAAATTGAAGGAAACCATATTTTAATTAAATAATACTTTACTCTACAGTAGGAAAAAATGGCAAAAAGCTCAAATATAAATTTACCAAAAAGGAGGAAAGACGGCCTAGAAAGACTAAAGGAATTATGAACAAATTGTTTTGTCAACTTTTAAAAATGTTTCTGGTGATTTATTCAGGATGGACAATTCATGACACCGGTTCTTTTATATAACTGTTATGGCTGTGTTCTAAATCCTGACTCTACTAATTTGATAAAACACCTGATAAATAATTATTGTCTAGAAAATAAGACATTTAGAACCTAGGCTAATGTGGTTTTAGTACTTATAGTAAACATTATGCAACATGCACAGCTATCATTAAAGAGAATCATCTTGCAACATTTTGATATTTTCTGAATGTTTGGTAATTCCAATGACACCACAGGCCAAGCAAGATCCACTATTTCCAGTTGTGAGGCTCAGTTCGTGTCCTCCTGTCCCAAGATCATCTACTCCTGCACAAACCTGTGAAGCAAACATCCTTACTGAAGCTTACTTTTTACTACAAACAAACACACAAACAAACAAGTTTTCCAGACAACTGTCTTTAACAATTTTGATTGTGTGAATGAACAGCAAACTACCCTAAACAACTTCTCTTCACAAGGTTTCATTTGCTTATGAAAAACTTAATAAGACAATTTTTTTGACAAATTCTCCTTAAAGCCACAATACTCTTGTGTGCAGTGGAATTATTTAAATTTTAAATCCAAGTTCTTTATTCTTTCATCAATAACTTTTTTGGGTCATGCAAATGAGCATGTTTTACCATTTGACAAGTTCTATCTTGAGAACAATCTCCTTGCAGTAGGATATAGTTGTCAAGGAACAACTTGCCAAATCTTCTTAATGAGCCTCCTAATTAATGTATATGTGAAGACCTACTTGTGTATAACTTCATACAGACCGAGATTAATTTCTTTCAAGTAAGGCTGATTTGGTCCAGTTTGATTTTAATAATAAGCAATCCTAAGGCCTTGTTGGGGTGAAATTCTGAAATGCCAGGACATTGAAACAATGTGGGGTCTGATAGAGTGGCAGCCATTATGACAAATGAATGTAACAAACTTATGAAATTGCAACATGGAAAGGTTTGAAATTCAGACAAGGATTGGATATGCTTAACCCCACTTACAGGACCTCACCCATGCATCACTCTGTACAACCGGACATTACAAACATCATCTGTGTAAAAATCACTTCAGTCTATTACAGTACTGTACAATTACTTGTAACCCACTAGTCAATGAATGATGAACAAGAGCATTCTGAAGGGCGGCATAAGGTTATATGGTGATGCTTTTTGGTGCGGTTTTGCAGAATTCTTTTTTAACTTGCATTTTTTTTTTTATTGCAGTTTTTTTTTTTATTCTTTTATTGCAGTTTTATAAGACTAAGCAATTTGCAGTTTCATAATGTATTGCTGATTTAGTCGAATTGCGACCAATTGCAAAAAAATGGGTGTTTCTGAGCTTGTGTTTGGGATATTTGAGCCTGAAAACTAGCATCTTGATAAAT